ACTAGGAAACAATAGCAACCGATCACCAGGTGTTCGATGCGCTATCGCCCTGACGGAGGCAATGCTGAGTTGCGCTTGTCATACGTCTACTCCGAAGGCTGATGGCTCGGACTTTTGCAAATGAATACAGAATTGTCTCTCAAATCATAATCTCTTTTGATGAGCAACGGTAGATCCAGGGTTCATAAATCATAGTGAGGAGATGTTTGCTGGATTTTAATGCCGAGATCACGTCTTCTGAGTTACTTGAGATAGCCATGAAATCAGTACGACGGAGTCAACCACATCAGCATCAATGGTAGTGTCCTCTGAACCACATACTTGGCCTCAAAATATCACATACAATCTAAATCGACGATGCCTCATAATCCGAATATATACATGAGATTGTATGGCTCTGCCTTACTCAACATATCTTAGTAAGAGGTTTTCTGCTTTGGGCATTCGAACGATATCAGTCGATGTCTGCATGTCCAGACTATTACAGGGGTTGCAGAAGTGGGCTGTAGAGCCTAGAGCCCCGTATAACTCAAGCCGATCACTGGCAGAACCTCTAAATAGCGAGCATTATTTCTTTTTCGGATACCCAAACCTGACACTCCTAGTCTTTTTGGTCGTCCGTAGAACGGTGGGTGCTGAACAAGGGAGACGAGGTCGATGTCATGAGGGGGAGAATGACTGCCCACGGACAGTATTAGGGCAGTAAGGGGGGAAGGAAATCCCCAGGTATTGCGAAGTCAACTGCGGGCCACTCAGAGAAGGTCAGAAACTAAGTCAGAATGTGAATTGCATCCGGACTGAAACCGTGGTGTCACGATCCTCGATTCCAAGTCCCCAAACCCGAAAAGAGGGTCTTGAAAAATGGAAAAGTACTGACACCTGTCAAATGTCACTTCTCACGTCAAGTTTTCAGGAGGGGTATATCTAGGTTGGAGCTCGAGTCTCAGACAACATATTGCTTATTTTCTTCCCCGATCTATCACAAAAAGCCGGTTGGGCGGATACGCTCGAGACTGCAGGGATTTCGCTTAGCAGGTTGTCCAATTGAAGCTTGCGAAAGATGCCCTGTGAAAAAAAGAAGGACTTCTGCTGGGAGTGCATACTCTGCGAAAACGTTCAGGTTTGTTTGTCAATTTGATGTCAGCACGGAGCCTCCCAGTGACCTGCATCACGCCGCCCGGTGGAGTGACACAAGTTTCCAAGGGATGGCCAAGACCCCAGCATACCATTCCACAGGAATAAAACAACCCAAATTCCCGGATACTGAGTTTTGGTCCTGCCGTGGCTTGTGCTTCTTTACTATTCTTGACCTCCCTTTTTCCATCAGTAACCTCTTTGTGATCGGCCTTGAAGGCTTGGGCGTCATTGGGTGTGTCGATGGCCTCTTCCGAGCCCAGGTACATGGCCGAGCCGCCAGATGGTCAAGGACGATTCGATGCGGGCACTATTACAACCGGGGCATTGGCATTGGGTGGAACGCTGACTTCGCTATCCATCATATTTGTCGGTCTGCGAGCCTTCACAAGGCTATCCCTAGTGAGAAGAGGCCTTGGTCCCGATGACTGTGAGTATTCTCCTAATAGATATTTGTGAACTCTATTCTAATGAGCCCTTATCCAGATCTCATCGGCATCTCGCTACTTTTGGCCATAATCTTCTATGGACTATCCGTCAAATGTGAGAATATTCCGACCAGTTACTATGGAGGGCGCCTCTAATTCCAGAAGTGTGCGAGCTCGGCGTGGGTACTCATCTTTGGCAAGTCGAGCGAGCTGACTATTCACCTTCATTCCTGCTTGTAAGTACAACATTTTCTTGACGTTGTAGACGAACCTCAGCATTTGTTCCTTCCACGGACTCACTCGACTGACAAACGATCTAGCACAGCATCATTGCGATAGCCGTCTACTCATTAAGTGTAACTACTGCGAAGTTGTCACTCCTCGTTTTGTACTTGCGTCTATCACCCGAAAGGTGGTTCAGGATTATTACAATGACCCTCATTGGCTTCGCTTCTTCGTACGCGCTGGCATATCTCCTTCTCATCGTCCTCAGCTGCAGGCCAATCCAGGCTTCATGGGATCTCTCGGCTAGAGAAGGAGCGATATGCATCGACAAAAACACCGTCTACTTGGTGCTCAGTGCTACCAATATCATCATGGATGTGGTTTGCCTTATTCTCCCTCTCAAGATCATCATCCCCCTGCAGATGGCAGCCCGACAAAAGCTGTCGCTGATTCTGCTATTCGCAACAGGGGGCTTGTAAGTGACTTCCCACGCGAAGGTGCACAACCGCATGCTGACATCTCTACAGTGTCTGCCTATGTGCCATCAGACGTACAATCCTCCTACCGCCGCTCTTCAAAAGTACTGATTACACTTTTGACATTGACAGGCAGTTGAACTGGGCATCCATCGAAGTCAACGCTGGAATTGTGTGTGCCTCCGTTCCGGCACTGAAGCCCTTCTTCGTGCGCTATCTGCCAATGTTTGTGACTTCCCACGTCACTGCACGCGGATCCAAGACGAAGAAGACAATACCAGATTATCAAAAATACCAACACTCGAATCCCTACTCTACCACGATTGAAGCCAACAAGAAGAGGCGCAACGTTCAGTCAGAAGCATACGAGCTGCATTCGCGTGATGATTTGTCGCTATCATCGAATGACATGCCGAAGAATGTGTCAAGAGAAGATGTTGCGAAGCTTTGGTCCGCAAGTGCCTTTCGCAAACAAAGCAGAAGTCACTGCGAGAACATCATCGAGTCGAACCCAAGGGACCCAGATGATAGTAGCCCAACCCTTGTCAACCAGATACAGTCGGTGGCGGAACATGATTCAAGAGGAGACCCGCCACAGATAGTGGCGAGCATGAGCGGTATCAGAGTTACAACAGAGACGCCGGTCGAGTATGAGGTGCCATGGCCGGATCATCGCAGTCCCAGGGGATGATGTTCCCAGATTGTTCTATTGTTTGTTGAGCGCACTTAAGACACATTCGAATTTTATATTAGCAATACAGACTACAAGGTGTCTTCAAGCTCCAGGTCTCCTGAATTCATGGTCAAAGGTTTCCTTGCTCATCATGCAGACTCCAGGTGCATCATATCTCTGAGGTCTTTCACCTCCGTGCCAGGTCTAGTAGCGACAGGCTTCGAGTTTCTATTGCCATACTTCCACTCCTCTTTTAGTCCCCTTTCTTTGCCCTCCAAGGCATCCGCAATGTAGTCGCCAATGATTGGAAACATCTTGAAAGCATGACCAGAGTCTCCAGTTGCCAGGAGTAGCGATGGATGTTTCGGGTGATTGTCGATGAGCCAGTGAGAGTCCGGAGAGTCGGTGCACCAGCAGACTCGCGCACCTAGCAGCGGTCGACCAGAGAACTGTGGCATGACGGTATCAATAAACTTCTTAATTGCTGTAGCTGCTTCATCGGGGATTCCGTCTTCGGGGTGTGCACTCGCGTATCGAGGAACTGAGTAGTGCTCCACTTTACCCGAGGGATCGGTGTACGTGCCGATTCGGTATTGGTAACCTGGGGATCCGTCACAGATCTTCATCCACTCTGCAAGCACTGTCAGTAAACAGATATTTGTCTCTCGTTGTCGTATAAACCTACTGGTCTCTGGGTCAGGTTCGAATGTGAAGCCCAGCTCAAAGTTATCCACGACGGGAATCCCCTTCCACTGAGCAACCTCCTCATCATTCAGCTCGATATGAGCCAAAGACCAGCACTTTGTCCACATCTCCAGTGACAACTCAGGTAGAACTTCAGGCGATGCAGCTCCCGTACAGAGGATATACCTGTCCCCACGCAAAACATCGCCGGACGCAACCTTGATCCCGTCAAGCTTGCCCAAAGTACCGAGGCTCAGCCCAGTCATCGTGCCGCTGGGACCTGAGATGAACTCAACACCCATATCCTGTGCTGCTTTGCCCCATTTTTCTAGAGAGTTTCTTGCATGGGCCCAGCCGCCTTGGCTGTTCCAAAGGCCCTTCCAGTTTTCGATGCCGTCTGCATCACGGAGCTGCGGAACGTGTTTGGCAATCTGCTCCTTACCAGCCACTAGCTCGAGGCTGCCAGCCTGTCCAGCCTTCTTAAGGTTCTCGTACGACTCCTTGAGGTGTCTCTCTGCTAATGGGTCGCCTAGAGTTGTCACGATGCGTCCCTATGAGGTTATGAGGAGCCGAAACTTGCGACAATGGTTAGAGAAAACGTCGACCAACCGTCTCATGAAAAATTCCTTCCCACTCGAAACCTCTCCAAGCATCGAGTGCCTCGAGTGCTAGTTCCGTGTACAGAGGCTCATCATATTCGGTTCTGATGATCTTGTTCAGGTCATACCCTGCAGAATCGAGACTTGGTATGGGATGACGATCGAGACACCTGATATTGGCGTAGCCACGCTTGGCAAGATGATACGCGGTGCTGATGCCAAAAGTCCCACTGATAAAGTCCTATCAGTAATGCCCCGGTTCGGTATGGTTATGTTAAACTCACGCGCCCAGAATGACAATGCTCGAGGTCTTTGAAAGAGGCGGGGTATTGACGGTCATGGCTGACGAATGATTACCATTAATATCTTTGTACAAGGCAGCAGAATTTGAACGCAAACTATCACCACTTCAAAGCTGGAATATATTTCAGAGAGTTTCCGTATCTCGGTAAGATATGTAGTCCTCAAGTCGGTACAAACACGCCGAGACTACATGAACTCTATGAAAGAGGATCGACTTGGTCGAAACATGGGCATCTAATTGGCTCATTGCTTTACCCCTCGTCCTGCACAGTTGCATACTAGACCATTATTGGGGCGCCAGGCCGCTAGAGCGCACGTCTAAACAGGTGATCTCAGGGGTCTCTGCCGGCTTGGACCTTCCCTTCCGCCTCACCAGGTCCATCTTCGACGTCCTCCCCCGCCTCATCAACCTTGGAGATGTAACATCGGAACCCTGAAAATGTCAACAAGCTTTTACGACTCCGCATTACTCGTGCATTTCACCATCTCCTATCGACAACAATGGCTAGAAACGAGCCACTGATCCGGTCGCGGCAGCACAGGCCAGATAGCTTGGACCTTCCACAGTATTGTCTCTCCTGGTCCGCTGTAGGTAGTGTATCATGGGGAAACACCAGCGTAAAGCCTATCTTGACTGCGGGGTCCGGAGATCCTGTCAAGATGGAATGAGTGCAGCGAAGGGGTCCACCAATTCCAAGGAAGGTCGATACCGAGTAGTTTGTTCCGGATGAGGTTTATACTCGGCTCGACGGCAAATGGTATATAACGACTTGTAGAAAGTTTCCGTTCCACATCAGTAGCATCGGTCAGACCAGCCCAGCGATCCACTCATTTATACCAACATTCTCCGGCTCAAGATCCGGCACCATGTCTGGCACAATAGACCAGCGCGGCGAAAAGACGGCTGTGGCCTCTCCAGGGCCGCAGCCGCATCCCGACGAGGAGGCTCGCGATGCCGAAGACCTAGACAAGGCGATGGCCTACGCCATTGACGAGATCGAGGAGCACTTTGACATCGAGTCCGACAACTCGCCGTACCCCGAAGTCCGCGCCAACGTGCCTAACACGGATGACCCGTCCATGCCCGTCAACACGCTCCGCATGTGGGTTCTCGGCGTCCTCTTCACCATGGTCGGCTCCGGTATCAACCAGTTCTTCTCTATGAGGTACCCAGGCGTCACCATCTCGTCTCTGGTGGCACAACTCATCGCCTACCCCGTCGGTTGCGCCGTGGCCCGTATCCTGCCCGTTAAAAAGGTGCGCGTCTTCGGCCGCTGGGACCTGGTGATTAATCCGGACCACTACTTCAACATCAAGGAGCACGCGGTCATCACCATCATGTCCAACCTTTCTTTTGGACCGTCGTGGGCTACTGACATCATTCAAGCGCAGAAGGCGTCGGCGTTCTACGGGCTCGACACACCGGTCGCATACCAATTCCTGCTAGGCCTCTCGATGCAGCTGTTCGGTCTTGGTATGGCTGGACTGGCGTATCGCTTCATCGTAGAGCCTCCTCATATGATCTGGCCATCGACACTGGCCAACGCGGCGCTGTTCCAGACACTTCATGGCCGGGCGAACCCTTTAGCAGACGGTTGGAGGATCACAAGATATCGGTTCTTTCTTTATGTCTTTGTCGGGGGGTTCTTCTGGTACTGGCTTCCTGGATATTTGTTTACTGGTCTGAGTACCTTTGCATTTGTCTGCTGGGCTGCTCCGAGTAAGTCGGGTACCTGTATGATGGTTATCCAGTTCCACTGACAAGGCGCAGACAACGTTGTGGTCAACAATCTATTCGGCATGTCGACGGGCCTGGCCTATCTACCCATTACCTTTGACTGGTCTCAGATCGCCTACAATGGGTCGCCTTTGGTCGTTCCTTTCTGGGCGCAAGCTAATGTCTTTGCTGGCTGGGTCATCCTCTTTGCTCTCGTCACACCAATTCTATACTACACTAATACGTGGTATACCGCATTCCTCCCATTCTCCGGCGCAGATACCTACGACAACACCGGCAAGATCTACAATGCTACCCGCGTAGTAGGCAAAGATGGCAACTTTATCGTGGAGGAGTACGAGAAATACAGCCCACTCTTCATGCCCGTCACCTTTGCGCTAAGCTATGGCATATCGTTTGCGACAATGACCTGCGTGCCGACGTACATCTTCATCAACTACTACAAAGACATCATTGGCGCATTCAACCCGAGCAGAAAGAAGGATATTCACACCCGCCTGATCGAGAGATATCCAGACACACCATGGTGGTGGTACGGCATCATGACGGCCGCCGTGCTGGCTTTGACAATCATCGTGCAAGAGGTCTACGAAACCCAGATGCCTGTCTGGGGCGTTTTCGTGGCGTTCGGATTGGCTCTGATCTACCTGATCCCGACCGGCAGCGTCTACGCCGTCGCAAACCTCAACAGCAACGTCCTCACGGTCCTGGGCGAAATCATCTCGGGATACGCCATTCCGGGAAAGCCCATCGTCATGCTGATCTTCAAGTTCTACGCCTACACGGGGCTCAGCCAGGCCATGATGTTCTCTTCGGACATGAAGCTAGGCCTTTACATGAAGATTCCCCGGAGGACGCTGTTTGTAGCCCAGTTGGCGGCTTGTATCACGGGCTCTCTCACGCAGAATGCCGTTCTCTTGTGGATGCTAAACCATGTCAAAGACATTTGCCACGAAAGCCAGCCCAATGGCTACACCTGCCCACAAGGACGGGTCAACTTCTCTTCGAGTATCGTTTGGGGTGCCATCGGCCCAGCACGGCTATACAGCGTCGGCAAGATCTACTCTGGTCTGTTGCACCTTTTCTGGATTGGGGCACTCTTGCCCGTGGTGACATTCTTCCTCAAGAAGCGATTCCCAGAGAACAAGTTCCTGAGATACCTTCACTGGCCTCTCTTCTTTGCAGGAACGGGCAACGTTCCTCCCGCCACAGGGATCAACTACACCTCAGCTTTTGTCGTCTCCTTCATCTTTAACAAGTGGCTTAAGGGCAAATTCCCTCAGTGGTGGGCAAAGGTGTGTTCAAATGCAACGACTTGCTTCCCAAAGTTAAGGTAATTAGCTCCATACTGACTCGGTAACGACAGTACAACTACGTCTTATCTGCTGCGCTCGACTCCGGCCTAGCCATATCCGCCATCGTCATCTTCTTTGCTCTCGTTTTCCCCGGTGTCCAGCTAAGCTGGTGGGGTAATAATATTCAGCGTTCGACTATCGACGGCCAAGGCGTTCCCTTGAAGGCTGTGCCGTCAAATGGCGCTTTTGGCCCAGCAACCTGGTCTTAGCCAGGTATTCTTCTGATATCCATCATCCGTCTGAATGATTCCCTGTAATTTCCTGGCACTGATAAGCCATGATTCCCAATAGCAAAAGCCAATCAGGTACAAATAACACTACTAATTACCACATTGCGCCAAATCTAAACGCTCGCATGTCTCCGTTACTCGTAAGCATAATACATCACAGAAACTGGGGTCTTCCTACGCATGAATTACCGTGGGGACTGCTCTGCAGGTTCGAAGGCGATACCGCTCGAGCTATACAGCTCAAGCCAGACTAATATTATGGCAGAACGGCGCCACGAATCGAGCCCAGTCGTTGAAAGCCTTGGGACTGGGGGATAGCTGCCGATCCGACGACAAGAACGATGCCGCCTCGCGTTGCTTCCAGACCTTTTCAACTACGGAACGGGTCCGAGTGACATTGCAGAGCGAATCTGCCAACTTGTCGAGAACATAGAGGACAAATGGACGTGCGTAGCGGGGTGAGGTCTTGTCCTCGACATCTCCCTCAACCCATTGAAGCTCCTCTGTGGGATCGAGTTGGCAGGCTGCCATGAAGAGCGGCCAAGTGAGTCCAGCTTTGACATCCGCCTCGAGCAACATCGCGACGAGACCCAAGATCTTCTTGACACTTTGCCGAATTACGGGTGTTGCCGGGGTCGAGTCGTTGAGAGCAGAGTGGAGGTAGAGCTCTACCGTCAACCGCTTCAACTCGACGGTATTCCTGATGATTTCGTCTTCACTATCGCTCTTTAGATGCGGCTGCTGGAGTAGACAAGTCAACCTTATCCGCTGGCGCTCAAGATCCTGCCAGCAGTCCTCCGCCGTCGAAGATGACATGCGATGGTACTTGAAGCTGAGCTCCGTGATCTCGCCAATGATACTGACCAGCTGCGGCGAGCAGCCCATCCAGAGATCAAGCCCCTCGTCCTCCTGCGCAGACCAAAAGTCGTTGCCGAAAATGGGCTCCTCGCCGCAGGCGGTTCGTCCCATGACGTCGTAAAAGGCAAAATACCGCTCGGCGAACTTGATGATTCGCTCCCAGGGACTCTGCTGTCGCGCCGCCATCTTGGCGGCGTCCGAAGTCATGCCTTGGCGTCTGAACCTGATGAGGTCCCGGGCCCCGCGCAGATGCGTGACCCAGCGCTTGTCGCACTCTGCAATGATTTCGAGCTGACAGAGCAGCATCATCAGGACGAGGATCTCCGAGTTGGCTGCGATGTCGATGGACGACTTGTTTTCGAGCGTCAGGCGCAGCGATCGGATGACTTTGGCCGAGTAGCTTAGAGCTACCGGCTGATATGTGCAGTCTGATCTTGCCCTGTGTGAAGCGGCGAGGCCCAGGAGGGCGTGCATGAGGGCTGGCGAGGCGGATGAGACGGCAAAGGGGAAGATGAGCGCGGAGAAGGGAGATTCGCCTTTGGCGCAAGGGACTGTCATGGGACAGATACGATCCAGGTAGTAAGATAATAAATGTGATTCGGCCTGGCTGTCGAGTTGGACATATTTCACCGGACGATTGATACAGCCCAAGTTCTTTCTCAGTGTAAGAGCTGCCGATTTGCGATCATCCGTGGAGCTGTCATCACTGGAAGACGACGAAGACTCTTCCCTCTCAAAGTCGGCGACGAAGGAGTTCAAGAAACCAAAAGAATGAACGTGGATAGGGAGACACCAGTAGTTGTCCAGGGTCGAAGGCGGCGTCGCGGATTTCTTCTTGTTATTGCCGCCGGTCCCAGATTTCGACCACACGCCGGCCCTCCCAAAGGCACGGCCAACGTAGTCGGTTTCCCATTTCAGGACTTGGGCGTAGACGCAGTCGGCGTAGCCACGGGAAGTACATGGCCCACAGTGAGGTTTCGCCTCGTCGCACCGGATCTTGTGTAGACGGCAGCGGTGACAGCCGCGGTGGCTCCGTCTAGATACCTGCTTGGAGGGATCTCGTCTGCGCGGCATTTTTGCCAGAGACCGTGGGCGGATTGTGAAGATGTCTCGACAGGTCTACTATGAGCTAACAAAGAACACAGTAAGGTGCCGGTGCTAGCAGTATTGAATAGTGGATTTAGAAGATGGGGCGTGACATGGAACTACAGGAGAGGATTCCGGGGGACGGATGGGGAGGCCGGGGATGTGAGGGGCACAATTGTCGAGTGATGGAGCAAATTGTCGGCTGACTAAACCCCCGTTCTTGGAGCCTGACTCCGACTTTTTGATCATCGCCAACATTTGGGTCTCTTAGATAGAGTTCGCTGGGATGGCTGGTTCGCTAGTTGAAGGTTTGGGCTAGGGGGAAACACCCCGATCCCCAAGTGTTGGATGCTCATTCTGGGAACTGCCAATCTTGGGTTGACTTGATGTTTGACTACTCACCTCAGACAAAAGCCAAAAGATTAGAGTTGAGCTGTTGCCCTACCTTGTTTTCAAGAATTACGCAACTCAATACGGACTGGCACTACATTGCTACTAGCTATCTGACTCGGTGCGAGTGATACGCGTCCTCGGACTCTGAGAGTTGGTGCAAGGCCCTGGAGATCAGAGCAGTCAAAGAGGTGTTGATGATGTAGGGTTACCATGAGCATCGAGGATTGCACATCAAACGTCGAATATACCGAACTTATTATACCCAACGTGTTATTCGAATGAACGTTTGACCATGTTCTCTTCTCTGCGCAGTCGTGACGTTGGTAGCGTCGTCCGATATAAAGCATTCTGAGGGGTAATGCCGGCTCATGTGGGCAGCTCTGAGTTTAGAGCACTTCGCGACAAAGCTTCTCAAAGCGGGATGACATCGGACAACTGAAAATAGGACGGCGTGGGCCGTACTAAAGAGAATTGCCGTCACCCTTTGATATCGAATCACAGGAAGCTTCGCCATGTAGGGCAGCTTGGGCGAGTCAGGGACTTCTGAAGCTCTTTTCTGGGGCTCTATCCGTACAAGGAGGGGTTGTGATGAGTTCCTGAGGGGCCATCGCGGGGTCGGCCATGACTCAGGGCTCCACGCGCACGCTTCAAGAGCGCACAGCACCCTGGATCTTTCAACAATCACGACTGGTCGGTTAGCTCAGTTGGTTAGAGCGTGGTACTAATATTTCACCTGAAATGCTGTGTAATGCCAAGGCCGGGAGTTCAAGCCTCCCACTGATCATTTCTTTTGCAATTTTGACCTAGAGTTGTAGCTGTCTCTCTAAATATGACGAGAAAGCTGCTTTTTCCCTGGTTTGGTGAAAATTCACGCGTTGACGTGAATTCAGTTAGCCTGAGCCCCTTCTCATGGTCAGATGCATATAATGTTTATGTCGATTTATTGGGGCTCCTTCTAATATGCCTAAATCGGAGTGCGATAACGATAAGCGTCATGCAGCATGTCACCCCAGCTTCAACTAAGGTAGAAGTCAGGGTCTCTCTCAAGCTTCCCCAAGCTTCCAAAACGCCAAACCTCAATTAACATCTACCTTGTCACACACGCACACACATCTCCCTTGAGCTCGCCCAATTCCCCTCGACACAAAACAATGCCGCCGAGATGACAACCCCGCGCCCTTGGACACCACCCCTCCTCCTCCGCATCCGCTTCACAACCTCCCTACCAGACCTCGACCTCGACATCCCCTCCCCCTCCCAAACAACAGTCGCCGCCCTCAAGCACCTCATCCGCGGCCGCCTCGCCCAACCCGACTCCCAACGCCGTCTCCGCTTCATCCACCAGGGCAAAATTCTCCCCGACGCCTCGGCCCTTAGCTCCGTCCTGCGGCCGCTGCCCCCTCCTCCCCCTCCATCATCCTCGAACCCGACGTCGACGCCGTCCACACCCGGCGCAAACAGCGGCTTCGATGATCCCAAGGGCAAAGGCAAGGCCAAGGCCAACGAGACCGCGCTGCCGCAGAGGGTCTACGTGAACTGCAGCATCGGCGACAGTCTCACCGACGAAGAACTCGCCGCCGAAGCCGAGGCAGCTCTACGCGCGCCATCGGAGCGGAGTGCGACGACTCATTCCGGGGCGGGAGACGGGCAGCATGGCGGTCACGGCCACGATGGCAGCGCATACGGCTCCCAAGCCCACCACCACCACCACCAGCAGCGCCCGACGCCAAGGGGCTTCGACAGGCTCCTCAACGCAGGCTTCACGGCGGCCGAAGTAAACCAGCTGCGCCTCCAGTTCCGCGACATACGCGCGACGCAGTATACCCCCGACACCATGCCCAGCCCGGACACGATGCGCTCGCTCGAGGACACTTGGATAGATACCAACGCCGGCGGCGCGTTACCCGGCAGCGGGACAGGCGCAGGAGGGGACGGAGCCGACGGAGGAGCGGGTGGCGGCGGCGGTGATGATGCGTTTGGCGTCATGAGTGGTATACTCGACGTCCTCATCGAGGGTCTTATTGTGGGCTTCTTCTGGCCATTGGGGTGTCTGGGGTGGCTCTCGCGGGAGGAAAATATGCTCTCTGGCCGGTGGCATGACTTTATCGGGTTCGGCGTGACTTTGAGTATCATTATTGGCGTCATCAGGGCATTCTCGGGCGATCGATAGGGCGAGGCCGTTGTTGGCTTTCAAATCCTTGTGGACTTATTTTGGGGAGGGGATATGTTTCCGGGCGGTTGGTACGATTACGTTACGTTAGGTGTGGCATGGTGTTGCATTATTTCGTGTCGACACGATGGTTTTCTTGGGCGATTGGTAGAGCAGTGGCGGTTTTTTCTACTACGGGGTTTCGGCGTTAGGTTAACCTGGATGCTTATTGATTATACCTAGGTAACGGTGTCTTATTCGTAATTATACCAAGCATCAGGCAAGGATGGCTAGGGAGCGTGGTATGAATCACATAGATAGAGACAGCGAACAAAAGGGGGCCATTATCTGCTTCATTGGTGGCCATGGAGAAAGCGACTTTTTAAGAGCCGAAACTCCGAATCCGCACACACAAAGATTCTACATGCATGGTATAAAACCTCGAATAACCATCAAACGCCATGATGTCCCCTGGGGCTACCTAACAAAAGGGAAAAAGTACAACGGGCTAGAAAAGAGGGAGCAAAAGGGCTATCTGACAACTGCTAGCATGACAGTATTGTCGCTAGCATCTGAAAACAAACCTTTTTTAGAGTTTTACAGGTACAAACTCTGAGCCGCGACGATGTCACGGCGGATCTTGGCGAGACTGTCCTCGAACTTTTGTGTAAGCTCGTCGCTGCCCATGACCTTGGCGCCCTGGCCCATCTGGCGCAGAAGCTCTTCCAGACGGCGGAAAAGGCGGATAAGGGAACCCTCGTAGGCATTGGTCATTTTGCTGTAACGTGTCAGTGGACGAAAGATGGAATGAAGATATTGGAGGTAACGTACCAGATGTCTGCAAATGGCTTGCCTTGTGCCCACGAGTAGACAGTCTCCATCAATTGCCACTTGAAGCCAGCCAAGTACTCCTCCTCGTTGAGCTCAAGCTTGCTCTCTCGGCTGACCTTGGCGACCTGCTTAGCCTTGGCCTGAACCTCCCGGTAGGGCTTGGCCAATTCCTCACGCAGGGCTGCTGTCTCAAGCTTCTCGTCCAAGACGAAACAGCTGAGTGTAGCGGCAATGAGCTCGGGAGAAAGCTCGTTAAAGAAGCGATCAAACAGAAGCTCGGCAAGAACAAGTTCGTGACCTTCGGTAGATGAGATCTCACAGGCGACGCGAGCCTTAAGCTCGACAACCTCGGACTCGTTAAGGAATCCAAGACGGCGCAGGACACGCTTGCGCGCTTTGAGCTCATCCATCTGCGCAATGCTGTGGAGTCTTGCAATCTCCTTCTTCTTGGACTTGATCTGCTCGCCGAGTTTCTCCTTGGAGCGATACTGAAGGTAGAGCTCGGGCAGCAGTGGTGATCCGTGAAGGGGGTTGGTGAGGAGGCGCGCCTCCAACATCTCAATCTTCCTCATCAGGGCTTTGAAAGAATCGTCGTTGATGCCCATGTTCTCAACAGGGTCCAGAATTGGCAGTCCGTCGGGGAAGCGTCTGTGAACCTCCCGAAGAGAGTTGCCGACCTCGTTAAGCGCGGACTGAGATTTGCAATCCTTGGGCATGAAGACTCTGATCTGGCTGATGGACTTGACGCAAGTCAGCAGACAAGGGATGATTTCGAAGCGAGCTCCGTTGTCCGGCTGTTCGGGGTTCGGGTAGGGAACCAGGCCCTTTGGCAGATCAGAGGTCAAATGCCTGGAGCCTTCGGCAACAGGTGCGCTCTTCTGGTCTACAACCATCATGACGTCGATGAGGCAGGACTCCTGAGGAGGGTATTCAGGCTCGCCTTGCTTGCGGTTGCGGTCGCGGCGAATCAGGTTCGCCACAACACCCCAGCCGAAGTCGGTGCCGCCAATGGTGTTGTTGGTCTTCTTGGGGTCGTGAATGCGAACCAGACGGCCGGGCTGCATGAAGTCGGTGCAGTGCTCAGGGTGCTGAATAACAGCACGCATGTCGCTAGTGTATTGCTCCAGCTGGTTACGGAGGTTGTAGTAGTCCTTGACTGTAGCCTCATCAGCGATGGACATGCTGTCCCTCTCTTGCTGGAGAGCGACCAAGTCACGTTCCAAAGCTGGGACACTAGCACCTGTCTGGAACTGATGGAAGCAACGCTCAAGCATGAACTCGGGGGAAATAGCCTCGATTCTCAAGAGGTTTAGGATCATGTTGTAGCCGAGGTAGAAGGCGGAGTTAAGACGATCCTGCTCACCCACGACCATGCCGCGGGCAGTATCAGGCTCCATCTTGTCGTCAATCATCATGATGACAATACCACGTGTATCCAGACCTCTACGACCAGCACGTCCAGACATCTGAATGTACTCGGACGGGGTAAGAGGTCTCCGTTGAACTCCATCCCACTTGTTAGTTTGGGTGAAGACGACAGTCTTGGCAGGCATGTTGAGACCAATGGAGAAGGTTTCGGTTGCGACAAGCACCTTGATCAGAGACTCTTGGAACAGAATCTCGATGGTCTCCTTCAGAATGGGCAGAAGACCAGAGTGATGCACGCCGATACCCTTTTGCAACAAGGGAAGCAGGTTCTGGATCTGGGGGAGCTCGCGGTCAGCCTCAGATAAGCTCTGGATGGCGTTGTTAAACACGGTCTTAACCATGGCCTGCTCCGAGTCGTTGTTGAACTGGAAGTGAGAGATCTGCAGAGCCAGGTTCTCGACCTCCTTTTTGCTGAAGTTGAAAACAATGACGGGGTGGAAACTCTTCTGCATGATCATGCGAATGATCTTGGAGATATCAGACTTCATATCGGACGCCTGACCACCCTTTTGTGTCTGCTTCTTGGCTCCCTTGCCCTTCCAGCTTGCGTTCGTGTTGTTGGGGTCTTGGCCCTTGCCCGCCTCGATGAGGGACATGGTCTTCTGGAAGTTGCCTTCTCTGAATACGCCCTTCTCGTCAACAACCAGAAAGATACCGTTACCACCGGCAGGGAAGAAGTAGTTTTGAAGGGGGGTGGGACGGAAATCGGTGTAGACGACGTGACAAGCCTGGTGGTGGATCTTGGCAATCCATTCCGCAAACTGGAAGGCGTTGGGAATGGTGGCGGACAGGAAGACGTAGCGGACCTTATCAGGAAGAAGAATGATGGTCTCTTCCCAAACGACACCTCTAGTCTTGTCTCTCATGTAGTGAATTTCGTCAAAGACGACCCAGGCAACCTCGCGCATGATTTCGGAACCACGGTACAACATGGAGCGCAGAATCTCGGTCGTCATGACCAAACAACTGGCGGTGGGATTGATCGTGACATCACCAGTCATCAGACCGACGTCGCCAAATAGTGCTTCGAAGTCTCGGTATTTCTGGTTGCTGAGGGCCTTAATGGGACTCGTGTAAATGACTCTCTGGTTGCGCTTCAGACATTGCGCAATGGCGTATTCGGCGACGACAGTCTTTCCGGCAGAGGTGTGGGCAGAGACCAACACGCTCTCCTCCCTCTCGATCGAAGCGACAGACAGCGCCTGGAAAGGATCTAACTTAAAGCTGTACTGGCGTGCTGGCTCCGCGGGCGGCTTATGCTCGGAGAGGGGGATGTATTCGTAGTCCAGGTCAGGCGGCAGGGCGACTTGGTGCTGGATATTGTGGGACAGGACGAGCGATTCGTCCTGGGCTGGGGTGAAGACCGCGGCGCCAGCAACCTCTCGGGACTGGGCAGTCTGGAAGGTGTCGGTCAAGACAGGCTGGGCCTCGTCTTCCTTCTTCCTCCGCTTGTCCTTATGGGGCTCCTGCTGTTCGTCAGAAGAAGCGGCGGCATCTTCAGCTTCGTCAGCGTCCTGGCCATCCTTGGAGGTCTCATCGGCGTCGGGCATGTCGTCGTCCTCTGACTTTTCGGCGACGCCATTCTTCATTCCACCATCGGCCTTGCGCTTCTTGCTCTTCTTGTCCTTCTTGCGCGACTTCTGAGGTGGCTCGGCAACCTCAGTCTCAGGCTCGGGCTCGCTGTGTGACTCGTTTTGCGCGTCAGGTTGAGCGTCGAAAACATCGAAAAGCTCGTCCATGGTGGGCGATTGCTTGTTGCCAAGCGGGAACAGCAAAGTTGGGGTCGGCGCCTAGTTGGTCTTATGTATGGCGTCAGGGACCTCAAGGTTTGTTGATGGTCCAATGGCAAGCAAATAAAGCCAAACCTTTGCAAGCTCTCGAAATGCAAAGACGCGAGACACTTGGAGTGCAGCGGTGTGGCTATTAGTTTTTGAGGGTGTTGACAAGAGGCAACTCCTCAATTTTGTCTAGTCCCGGCAATGTGCGTTCGGTCGCAATTCGCAGGTGCTGGGGCGAAAAAGTTGGCGGGTCGGCCAAGGCAAGCAACAAGGAAGAGGCAGAAAAAAAATTCCAAAATGCTTGCATGACGGTGGTTGAGATTCGTCCAGACACGGAAGGCGGTGGCCGACCATCGTAGCTTCGAAATCCCAGCCGCGGGACTGGACCGTTCGCCGCTACCTACGACTCAGGCTCAGTCACGTGGGATTACATAACCGGGAAACAGACTTGGAGATCTTTGGAGCTTAGCCGGCTGCACAGTCTCAGACCACTCTTTTGGATGACTTCAACACCACAATCGCACCTCTCCATACCCCCATTGCGCTTCGCGATCGCCTCATAACACGCCGCCAAAGTAACTACGATCTCCCGAATGCCCCCAAAAGTCCAATTGATGCTGACCAGTGCTCCGTAGATGTTCGCCCGTGCTGCCGCCCGCGCGGTCCCCAAGACCCCTTCCACGGTCGCCCGCCGCGGCTTCCAGACCACTCGCGCCCAGATGTCCTCGCCCTACCACTACCCCGAGGGTCCCTACACCAACATCCCCTTCAACCCCAAGAGCAAGTTCTTCGGTCTTGGATTCTGGACCTACTCCTTCGTCGGATTCTTCGCCCCCTTCGGCATTGCTGGTGCGTGCTTTTTACCGTGGCTCCGATTTCCGCCGATATCGATTACTGACGAGTATCATAGTCTGGCAAACCAAGAAGCCCAAGGTTTAAGGAAACTCTTTGCACAATTTTTCCTTGAGTCGATCGCCATTGTAGAGCATGGATTGGGTTGAGACGGAGGACGACTGTGTACACAAGCCGAAATAGAGACTTTTCGTCCTCAATGGATCAGCAGGAAAACCGAATGACGATCTGTCCGTCGCGGTATTCTATGTGATGAATGTGAATCACGGACCTTGGAGTCACACCAGACTACAGAGTGTGCCCACGCTGGAGTACGCATCAGAGGTTGAATGGGGATAGAAGTCACATTTCTCTACTCAAGTGGCAGTTGGCTCCATTGTGTAGTGTAAGCAACTGGACGGTCTTAAAGACTAAGGGGTCACAAACAGAGTTCGCCTCAGTAGGCTCCATCTCTTGTCGATTATTCTGGTGCTCATACTGGGAACGTATGCGAATTGAAACTCAGAGCTTACCGATTTGGCCGAAGGGGTAATTGATTGTTGCTCGTACATTATTCCACCACTCAATCAGCTTGTGCTGGACTCCTGACACAGAGAGGTGCCTGCTGTTGCTGGTGGCCGGAGTGGAATCGAGGGGGTAATAAGGACTTCTTGTGTGTATTCAATTAATAGAAAGGTCATTGGATGAAGGTCTTTTGGGTACGGCCGGTGAGGTGAGGAGGAGGGAAGGAGGGCTAACTAACGTATCAATCATAACAGGACAATGGAATAAGCTTTCGACGATAAGGTATGGACAGGCAATTGAAATTACTGGTATCTTTGTCTATAGTATAGGTTGTTTTACATTGGCCGTTTCCTGACCGCCTTGTGCTTCTTCTTCTGCTGCCCGGGCCCATGCCGGAAGATGAACGCATCCTTGCCGTCCATGAGTCTGGCGATATAGTGATCCATAAAGTCCGCCCTATCCGGCTCAAGTTCCCACCTCTTCTTGAAATCCTCGTACACCTCCAATACCTTTTCGTTATTTGTACATTTCATGAAGGCCCGAAGCGCCCAAATCATGAGCCAGGTATCAAGTCTTAGACCCTGGACTTTGTTGTCAACCGCCTCAAATAGCGCGGCCAAGACATTTTCAAGCCGGTCACCTGTCCACGGAGAAAATGGAGATGCGCCATACTTGCTGAACCCTTCGAAGATCGCGAGGAAGATACTGCCGTGAACGGGCACTTCGAATTGTGGCATCTCGTCCAGGAACTGGGCAGTTTTACTCAGGTTCCCCTTCGTTATAGCGAAATGCTTGATCAGGATGCGGTACGTTCGCATGTCAGGAGTCTCATGCGCAAGCTCTTGGAGCTGTGGGCGGAGCTCTGGTATCTTTTTGCCGACGCGTGCAAACATGGAGTGAATATGGATGACGGCCTTGTCCATCGACGGGTCCATCTGGGGTATCTTGGCGGCCGCCGAGTAGCTGTCCTTCATATACCCGTAAACCTTCAGCGCCGCGTCCTCGTCCCCACATCTCAAGAAACTGGAGATGACGCAGTTGAGAACCACGGTGTCGACCATCTCCCCGGCCTCCACTAATTCCTTGTATGCAGCCCGGACGCCGTCGGGGTCTTCGCGGAGCCCAAAGAAGTGAATCAGACTGACGTGGTGGAAGCGGTTGAAGCTATATCCGCGCTTCTTCATCTCCTCGTAGAGCATCTCGGCTAGTGCAAAGTTTCCAGCCTTGGACGCCGCATCGAATAGAATGTTGAAAGTGACAGCGTTCCCCTTTACCCCAGACAACTTTTCCATCTCCTTCCACAGCTGGAGAGCAGCCTCGGCTTCGGTGTCCGTGACTCTGCCGACATATCTGCTTGCTAGGGCCAGGGCATGGTTCCATTCGCTTTGTCGCAGAGCAATCCCGCAATCCTTCGCGTCGCCGATCAGGGAGAAGTACCGAAGCATCGTCTGCGTCTCCTTCTTGATCGGGGTACCGAATATCTTGAGCAAGCGATGGCGCAGCTTTGCTGGCATATGAATCATCCGAGGTTCCGGTAGCGCCGCGTATAGGCTATGTATGGTGTCCAGATCCACCCTCGCTGGATATCTCATCTTGGTGCTTACAGCAGTGCCAAGCTTGGTCACCAACTGTCCTATGTCCTCGTCGCCGCGTAGTGCTTCATGGTATGACGGGTACTGCTGATCCTCTTTCCTTTCTGATATCGTGAGCGGAGTAGGCTCTGGTTGAGCGTATCTGTTCAGGTAGGGATCCCGGGCGAGTTCCAGGTGTTCGTCCACCGTTCCAACATCCTCATGCTCCACGAAGCCGAGTAGGACGTTCTTGTCCTTCCGCATGACTACATGATGTGATCGACTAGCTGAAGTAACGGCGGAGGCGGCAACGTGGCTATAAGATTGAGTTCGTCCGCGGATGGCCGAGTTTGAGCTTGTCGGGGCACGAGGGCGAACAGAAGAGGGCGCCGGCAGAAAGGTCGACAGCAGCCATGAAGCTGTCCGAGGACACTGAGTAGCCGGTGGGCGAGGGCATCGTGTGCGGTCCCTCTGGTGCTGGGACGCCGGCGCCCTCGAAGGTCTCTCGGTTCGGAGCTCTGGCCGGGAAGAAACTGCAGCTCGAGCTGCGCAGGGTCGAGTCGAGAGAATGGCACCGCATACGGACCCGTCTATCCGGCTAAGTACTTTCATGGGTTGTCGAGCATTGCGGCCAGGGCATCACCGTTCCATCGAAGAGCACGCGCTCGCTGGCGAATAGCTTAATAAAATTGGCGTTTGGGGATCGTTGGTGAGCTGCCAGCTGCGTTACTAAAAGCTCCGGGATGATTGGGATGGGAATATTATTTCGCTGGTGAAGTGCATGGGTAGAGTGGGGCCGACCGCGAAAGCCGGTGCCGGCGTTAGGATTGGCCGACGCTCCAAATTTCTGAGTTGCAGTTCGCGACGGACGGAGCTCATCGCTTGCAAAGGCACCCCAGACAGGATCGAACCGTCGTGCCACATCCGCCTCGACCTCAATAGTGAGTCTCAATTGCCCAAAAGATACAGCTTACCAGACGCCTGACAAATTTGACAGATCAAGATGGGGCGACAGATCAGGCCTGCGCGGATCTACCAGACCGTGAGCCAGGAGCTCAACTCGAAAATCCTCCCAAAGTATCCCGTCTATGAACCACCATGGTTCCAGGTCATGAGGGATATCCCCCCTTCCGAAATCATTACAAGGCCGGCTATCGTCAACACCCAGAACTCCAACCGCAAGCATCGCAAGCCTCAAGGCATATACAAACCTCAACAGATCGTGCACGAGGAGGACTCCTTGCGGAAGACATTCTTCAGAGACCACCCTTGGGAATTGGCGCGCCCGAGGATGATTTTGGAAACAGATGGAAAGGACTATCAGAGATGCGACTGGTCCAAGGGTGTCCGCCAATACAGAACGCCTCTGACCGGTGAATGGTAAGCTGACCCCGACTGTTGAGCTCCTCCCTCCCCTCGGAGCCACAGCTAACAACCAGACAGCGTCGTCCAGCGACAGCTTTGGCTCATGCACAACAAGAAATACCCGAGAGCAAAGGCATACGACATTGCAAGAAAGGAGTTCTACGCGCTGCGCCAGGAGGAGGAGATTGAGAAGCGCGTTGCCAGGGAGGAGGCGAGACACGTCGGAGCGTACTTTGGCAAGAACAGATTGCAAATCGCACAGGATCTGGAGGACAAGGAATTTGAGGTCTGGAAGGGCTGGGCGAGCAACAGAGCTGTCATGATCGAGCAGGCGCGCACTGCCAGTTACGCCAACTTTGGCGAAGAGGCGACGGATGAGGTTGCTGCCGAGGCAGAGGCGGAGGCGGCGGCTTGAGCAGAGAGGCCCCGGGCCTTGTAAGTATATGTACTACAAAGATCTGTATAATACCACAATTCCAGGTTGCTACGACTGCGAATAGTTATCTGATGCGCACAATACTGTGCCTAGCCATGTTCACGAAATGTTGACCATAATGTCGAAGCCGTTCTGAAGTGAGCTTCACGCTTTGAGATCAGTGTCTACGAGGCAGTTAGATTATAAGATATCAGAATATGTCGAATCTTCCTTCATTCGAGTTCGTTCAATGTATGGGTTTGTATTGATGAAAAGGAGGAAGGGCCGATAGCTATATATTCTGTCCGATGCCAAGCATCCACCGACCTTTCTCGCTCATAAGGGCCAGAAATGATTGAGATTTGACGAATTGTCATCTCTTCTTTCTCACAACCATGCAACCTGCATTCGTAACGCCGTAGGTCTTGGCTACTTGCTCATGCTGAACCAACAAGATGTCGGCAATGCCAGTGTAGTGAAACAGCTTCCCTGTCAGACTGAGGGTCTGAATTCTGGCCCACGACTCAATGTAGATGACCTGCATGGTGTCTTCTGGAACAACGTAGAGCATCTTGAGGAGGTACGCCACCAGGCCGACAATGAAGCCAGTGGCAGGGCCATTGGTGAGAATGATGTCGGGAAACTGCTGGCGACTTCTGGGGCCCTTGAAAGGAGAGGACAGCAGCAAGGGGAATATTTGAGCCACCGACATCAGGGCGGTAAAGGGCGTTGTCAGTAGACTCTGGTGAATCTTTCTGGCTCTCGCAACGATGTGTTTGTCAAATGTCCCTACTTGTCCCTCGCCATGAGTAGTTCTGAGCTCGTCTTCAAAGGCATTCAGGTGTGTGAGTGACATTGAGTCACCACTAGAGATGAGATAGCGTCGGTGCATGTCGGGGACGTTGGGAAAGCTGATCTCCATCATGGCTAGCATTTCCTTGGTATGGCCACCTGAGCCCAAGACGACGAAGAAGTAAGCTCCTTTGAGCAAGCTGGGACTGGTGGACTTCTTCGCAGCGACATCAGACAGATGAATTGGTCGCTTTAAACGAGACTGCTGGATTTGAAGGTGTCGCGCCTAAGTCATGTCAGTATTGACTGGGTTCCCAAAGACATGTTAATAATTACCGTGATAAAGACACCGCTGGAGATGACCCCCAGAACCAGGGTTAATAATAGGGCCCTCCATGAGGACTTGAGAATGAGGCCTAGGCCGAGGACACAGAAAGCAGATGCAATGCCGATCAAAGTAGATGCAGCCGCCATGTTGTCGTATTACAATGAGACCTTTATTCTTGTTCAAGTGCCAGTTCCCATCAGTGTGTGGTATTGTTGCGATTATTCAACCTGTTGAAATGGCTACATCAGCAATGTGTTCGAATAAAATGAACAAAATATTACTCACAGCTTTGCGTCTAATGAGCGAGCGTTTAAAATGCCAATTCTTGATGGCTCATCGGCTGAAATAATGATCAAGTGAGTGTATTCCCTATTAAAAGACCGAATCTCACTTCATTGAAGAGATATTAAAAGCCCTTCAGCCATGAGGTGAATGGCTTTCAAGTGGATATAAGTGCACCGCTGGCAGTGACTGAAGCTGTCACTGGAGACTTGTGGGGACCCTGTGTGGTACATCCAATTGGAGCAGCGCTGCTCCAAGCTTCCGCCTTGTGCCGGGCTTCAGAAGGTACTCCGTGCTCCGTACCTTACCTCAAGGTACCTAGGTAGTGTACCTTAGGTAATACGCTAGGAGGTTCCTGACAGAAAAAGCGGATGACCTCATGTTCCTGCTGGGACTTGAAGACCCCTGCGACTTCCCCTGCTTTCTCCCAGGAACACGTGCAGACCGCCCGGCAGAATCTCGAAAGTTCCGGGCTACAACAATATTGACGAAAGACATACCGTCAACCTGCATAAATGCTTTGTATGGCCCGAGGAGCCTCGAACCTCAAAGCGCAATGGCAAACTTGAGAAGCGGCAGGCTGCTGACCTGCTTTTACTGCGGCAAACGGTCATCAACAAGATACGATGGCCTGATTCGAGAATTTCTCTGCCTAAAATGCGACGCGACAAACTATCTGGACGAGGTGAGTTAACCAACCCACGGCGCATTGCGAGTCGCGATTCCATCTAACAGGAGCCCAGCGCGGAGACATCACCGATCCTCCAGTAGCCAAAACCACCTCAGCGCCTGCAGCGACGACGTACGCGATACCGCGATCTCAGTCCCCCGACTTCAGTACTCCATCACAGAGCATCTTCTGCCCGACATGTCTCAAGAACCAGCACCTGTTCACCAGCTCCCTGGCACAATACTTGCCTGAAGACCCAGACCACCCCGACTATGCTGAGCTCGAGAGAAATATGTACAAGTTTCGTCGACGGCTCGAACAGCGATACCCCCAGATATGCGCCCAGTGCGAGCCCAAAGTCCAAGCTCAGCTGGATCAGGCCGGCTACACGGCGCGGACCGACCACCTACGACGCATGATGGATAGGAGCAGGAAAGTCAGGATCGCTCCAAAGCAATTGACCTCGCTAGATATTGCGGCCAAGGTGGGAAAGTGGCTCTGGTTTGGTGGTATTTCCTGCCAATACCTGTGGCATGTCGCATCCTTGGCTGCTGTCTTTGCGACGCAATATGATGAAGGGCCAATGCGAGACCCGGACGCGGATGCCGAAAGCACAATGATACAGAGACTTTCACTTGCTCTTACACTGCTTCTTCCACGGCCTGAGAGACTGATACACTGGAGTCTATGGGCCAATGCTGTGAGCATCTGGTGGAACCCGAAATTCGTTCAGGTCTTCCGTGGCTTCTCTCGTCATATCCTGGGCTTGTCACACTGGTACACCTTTCAGGGGCTAATCATCTTCACGCGATTTCTTGCCATGAGAATGACCGAAATGAAAGGCGGGCGATCAGCTGAAGGAAGTGCCCAGATGAGCCTTCATGGACTGATGGCTGTGTTGATGCTAGCTGTGAGTGACACGAATTACGATCTCCCAAAGGCGCTGCTGACTCGATGCTACAGATATACATACTCGCCCAACGATCCGTACGTGTCGACATGACACCACTATTCCAGAACACCGGAACACCAGCTGCGTCACCACCAAGACCGCAAACGGCGCAAGCTCGAGAGGACGACAACAAGAACATGGCGAATCTTCTGGATGACATTCTGGCCGAGTCCAGCCCAGGACCAGGGATTCCTCCAAGTCCAACGAGCGTTGGCTCTGCATCACCAGCACTCTTCCAGCGGGAATTGCAGCACAGATCGAGCAACCGAAACGTTGGCATCAACACTCCGCAAAAGCTGCCTCAGCCCCAGTATTCGGAGGAGATGGACTGGTCTCCGACACAATCCAAACACCGGGCCTTTAACGACTTTGGACCTCCAAAGGCACCGAACCAGGTATTCGGGCAACCTGATCCGGGCCCCAACTCGAGCCCGTTCTGGTACAAGGTTCCTCCCGCACCGATAACACCGGCGCAAAAGCTTCGCAACGGTCCCAAGGTGTTGACGAAACCGGTGGAGAAAAAGTCAATCTTCACAACCGGCAGGACGGATGCGTCCAAGTCGCGGGGCGAGGACGCGAGCGGCGACACGGGCAAGGTGGCATTTGCGCAACCCACGTTCTTCGCGCCCTCGGCAATGTCGAACCCCAGCGATCCACGCAGCTCCTTGGCCGATCTGCTCAATTCGAGTTTTACGCTGAGCCTAGACGACGATGAAGAAGAGGGAGAGACGTCGGCGGCAACGAAGACGGAAACAGGAAAAAAGCACGCCGAGCTTGCGAACCCCGGACCTTCGGCACGAACGGCTGGTCTGCGTAACAACCGCTTACTGGACGTTTTCACCTTGGCGATCCTCCTCGGCGCGTGGCTCCACGCGACATCTGCGTCATACCCGTACAGCCGGGACGTAATGTTCGGCGCCATGCTCCTGAGCATGGCCATTGCCATTCACCTCACCAGCGACGCGATCAGGGACATGCGCAACGAGAACACGCCCAGCTTGGCGTCCATTATCAACACGTCGCTGGGGATAGGAGAGCTGGCGGTGGCATGTCACTTTGCGCTCCAAATCTGGGGTGATCGGACGCCGACGTCCGGATTGCACGGCGCGTCGGTCATTGGCGCAATACTCGCACACGAGATGTGGAATGCTGCTTGCTAGAGGGCATCCGTAGATACCGTTGGCCCCCGTTGGATGTTGTGGAGAAAGAGACAACAAGACACCAAAAGAAACACATGAGATGAGTAACACGAAGCATTGATTGGCATTGTTCAGCGGCGTTTGTCGGAATTTGGGTATAATGCTGCATAAGGGGCACACAGGAGATTCATTGCCTGGGCGACCACTAGGATTTACAAACGGAGAAGAGGATAGAGAGAGGGCCATGGACTTGAAGTCTTTGCTCCCTTTGGTTTTTTTGGGGTTTTACGGGTAGGCAGCTTTGTCGCTGAATAGTTAGACAATGGTATATCGACGATGTCGAACGGTGTTACGCCTCCAGTAGTGGCTCAAGTCCAACGAAGTCTAGCGGGACCGGGAGCATAGCGGAGGGCTTTGGGGAAAAATTGAGAATTACCGATCATGCACACTACCGCCGTTCCACGCGATTTTCCTCTCTCTTTTTCCCGGCCCGCCCTCGCTCTCGGGTCCTCTGGCCCATCGCCTCCTCTCTGAGAAATCAAACTTGTTAGCCTCGATGCGAGTGTGCGAGTAGGTACTGAATGGTGTGGTCCAGCTGTGCGTTTGGCACCCGCTAGTCCGCGTAGTAGTGGTGCGACGGGCTCTGTTTGCTTTCGGTCGAGCCGGGGCACCGTTAGGAAATACAAGTAATACTCCATAGAAGGTCGCGGCTAACTGAGCCGGACGAAATTTCGAATCAACTGCCCGCTGCACGGCTTGGCCTGCCATGGAATCCTCCGAGGTAGACCGACGCTACGGGCCCGGCGTACGCTAGAAGTATAGAGAGTTACTGCTAATCTTGCTCCGCGTATGCTACGATGCTGTTCTGAGCTAGATCGTTCTGCTTGATGGCCAGATGGGGGAGTGCTAGCACACGCCAGAGGCGCCGCCATGGCGTCGTTCATCGCATGGCCTGGGCTTGTCTGCATGCCTTCGATGCTGTGATTTCATAACGCTCCTTTGTATTCGTGGATCGCGGGGTTTACCCTCATAGCATCATCTGTCAAGTTTTCTTCGTAGAGAATTGGTTCCACTAGTTGACGGTCGGTCGTGGGAAACAAGCACGACAAGATGCCCAGGATCCTGTTCGGCATCTCACTCTTTTTTGGGTCTTTGGGATAGTGACCCGAAATTGTGAGGCCCGGATCCCCGATGACAAGAGCAGATACAAAGTACCTGAAGCTGATGCGAAAGAGTCTTGGAAGAGAACGAGTGATGATAAATCCAGGCGAGTCTCCGCCCGCCGGTGGGACGGACGTAAGTAACCCGCTCGTTCGCGAGGTTACCAAACTTAACACCGAGATAGCAACGGGGAATCATCCCGGTCAGCCTCATCGAGAAAATCTGACAGGCATCTGCCGCTCGGTGCCGAAAAAGGCGAGTGTGGCCGGCCTACGGAATACGGATACCAGGACCCTGGACAAAACTTTTGTTCGGTGAGTAATAACAGCTTAGTCTTCACTCAGCAGGATTCGAGCAGTGCTATGTCTTTCTGTGCTGCGTAATAAACTTGTGCTCCAGTACGGATACTCGCCCTCTCACAACCAAGGTCCATCATAAGGTTACCACTAAGTAGTATGCATTCACAGTAAGCTTTGTGATCGCTAATGGGTACTTTTTTGTGCGATGCTCGCAGGGCAAGTCCAGACGTGCCGGTATTTCCGGGTGGCCACCAGGTAATGGGGATAATCAGATAATCATCGTGGGCCGCAAGGTAAAGCTTTCCTAAGTTTCCTTGATTTTAGGCTGGGTATGGCACCAGCTAGCGTCACCAGTACCGTGATGGAGGCGGCTCAAGGCCCCGAGGCTTCAAGTTGTGATGAAGAGTGAGGTAATGCCGTCACTTTGGCAGCCTGGCTGAGACGGAATTGGCTGGTTCGGGGGTTGGAGACTTGTAGGTGGTGTTTGCTTCATTCGCTTCTCTCTTCTGCGTCATGTCAGCATGTTGATAGGTACACCGAGGTACCTTACGCTGCTTGCCTCGCTATGGTTACCAGGAAATCGGTACACGTAGTATAGAACCCTTGCGTGGGATTCCGTACGGCTTACGCAGCCTGCCAGCCTCTGCTGAAGCCACAGATGTTTGCACCAATGTAAGTCGCATGCCACGCTCGGTCGAACTTGTGCGGGAGTCGACTGTTTTGGGCGGTGTCTGTACCAAGGGGGCATATGACGTACTGAACGGATTGTCACTGCGAAGCGAGTGACAGAATGCGACAGTCTGGAATGGCGATGAGGCAACCAGGGTTCGAGAGCAGAGCCCCATGTCTTCATTAGTTATTCCCTGTGAGATAATAGGTATGCATCTTTGGTAAAATGGTACTCCGTATTGTCGAATACAATAACTTGTGTGGAATTGAAGTGAGGTCAGCGAGATTCGACGCGGAGGTGGTACTGGAATGCTGGTTTGTCCAAGGAGTTCAGTTAGAGCCTCCGTAACCGTACCTAGGTGTAGCGAAATTTGGCGCTTCTTCCCGGCGGTTGCGGGATGACTCCAACAGAATAGAGTCACGTTGACAGTTGCGAAGACCAGTCATCGAGCTTCCGTACGTCGCGGGCGCTCGATCGACACAAGACGAGGCTGTTCGGAAGTGGCTGGTTGACGCCTTCTGAAGGACCCCCGCGTCGGCCGTCCGCGTGAGTTCCTCTACTGGCCATGACATGGCACGACAGGACGCAAGAGGAACAGCGGCCTCGAGCCGGGTCGATGCAGACGATGCAGGGCGCCTGTCTCGGAAGGCCAACCACTGCTGGACACCACCCATTCAGCACAAGTCAAGCACACGACGCGCCTGTTGATCGCTGATCGTCCATGGATGGGTGCATTGCGAGAGAAAGTCATTTGGAGAATCCCTGCTTGAGTCTCCCATCTCACTGGTCCAGTGGTTGTAGTCCATAACACACAGTTTTAATGTAGCTCGACCGGCGGACTGTCAGGAAGGGGACCAGTAATGTTTTGAGCAGATGTTCCCCCAAGATGCGACTCTAATCGAGACTGGCAAAGTCTGGGGAAAAGTTGATGGTTGGCGTCCTGTTGATCCCAGCATTCGCGTTGCTAGCAATAACAACCGTACTCCCTAACAGTGCGAGATACAATCGTTAATAGCATGAACGGACGCACATCGCTTTGTCGGTCAGGTTTGAAGGCAATCCGCCACTCGCGGAAGACGGGAAGAGGAGATCACCGATCATATCAGGTTTTGAGTTGAGATTGGTAGAGAGGTCCAACCGCGGGTTGGCGCTGAATCTCTGTAACTGACCGGTGTCTGTCGAGTCTGTCTGTCAAAGTGGTGCACTGGTGCTGCCACAGGAAGACGCATCGGCCGGTGCTCGCCGCCTTCCCTTTTGCCTCGTCGTCCTGGTGCGCCCCGTGGCTGAGAGTTGCCGATCATCTGTGGCTGCTGCGTCAGCGCTCAGATCATCGGGGGGTTTTCTTTCTTCTTGCTATGCGTACCGCTCGCTGTATTGCTGTTTTGCTGGTCTCTGCGCTTTCCTTTCCCTTTCTGTTGGCTGGTCTCTGATCGCTTGGCGGTCTGTCACGGTTGTCACAAGTTTGTTGTCGCCCCTTTTGGGACTTTGCTGTTGAAAGCAGTCCGAGACAGCCCACCCAGCCATCGTGGCATACCTTTACAGGCTTGCTATGGGGCTGGAGGATGTTGATGTTTTTGTTGCGCGGCCAGCGGGTGCCCATCTTGCCAGGGTGATGCGAGTTATGATGATGTTGTGGATTTATGATTGTTGTACCAAACCCCCAGGAAGAGACGGTCGTGCAAATTAATGGGAGTTAGGTAGGTTGTCGGACTGAATATTGAGGTACGTATCTCGCACTTCGCATCAAAAAGGTGCTAAGAATACCTATCATGCCTGAGGGTTGACCTTAGGTAGGTTCCACGGGAAAGAGGAGCGAAGGTACGTATTGTCTCAAGTATCCGTACCTCCCCTTCTCCTTCCATTCGCACCTTCCATCGTGTCAGAGTACGTACCGAGTCCCCCAAACAACGGCCTCTCTGCTTCTCTCCAGCTTGACTCTTACGGTCTGCTCTGCGGTGGCCCCAAAGCTTACAAAGTCAGCTCGGCTCAGACTTCAGTGGCAGAGTGGCCCAGAGTCGCACCTTGTTTGTTTGTGGTTTAGTGAGCGTACCCTTGCTGCGTCCCCCACACTGCCATCTCTTGTATCTCCAGCGTGAATTTTGGGGGGGAGATACATGTTCAGCCGAGTCCTCGCCCTTCCTGGCCTCTCGCTGGCCTGAGGTCTGCATTGGCCGGGTCCAGCCCACTACGGAGTACACACTTGTCACCTTTGAAGCATTGCATTTTCCCTTTGAATTTTCTTGTCCCTCACTGTCTCCAGCAAAAACTTCAGAGAGTCCAGTCTGAGAGTGAACCTCCAGAAGTATTCATGTACCTCTGTGCCGGTGGAAGTAAGGTACGACAGGTACAGAGTACATACGTCCCTTCCCCAAATTTTGTGATGCCACCACCCCACCCCTCCTCCTTTTTTTCGTCTCCCCTTCGTGCCTTCCTGGTTCTCCATTGTCGAGACTGTCTCCGACCTCCGCCTTCTAAGTCCGTTCAGGTCTCTCCCATCCCATTCACTCAGTCAGTCAATACCATCACCCCTCTGGCTGTCACCCATCAAAATCAATCTTTTTCTTCCTCTCTCCGTCTGCCTCTACCTCTCCATTCCCCTCTCCCCCCTTCCTAAAATCTAAACCAATACTTGGGCCTTGAACCTGAGACAACCCCCAAGGCAGATCTTTCCACCCACTTCACTTCGTCTCGTCTTGGCCAAGCATTTCGACCAGAGGCCAAGCTATTCGTACGCCAGCAGAGAAGAAAAAGGTACGTAGCGACAGGCCTTCCCCGTCATTCATTCACCTTTGGGTTCCTTGCGCGGTCTGTCAGGGCAGGCAGGCTCAGAGGTACCTCGTCACCAAAGCCAAGGCCTGTGTATACTTCAGCCTCCTCCACCGCACCCACGTCCCACCCACCTCACGCACCACACCGCGGACCATTCATTCAACCCATCCCACACATTACGATGCTCATTTACTAACCCGCTCCTCCCGCGCGCACCCAGGGTCCTTTTCCTCTTTCTACCTCTGCCTCACTTCTACAACCAATACCAATCAACTATCTAAACAACCCCCCAAACACTCTTCATTTGTCTCTCTCGCCTGCACAACTGGGATTCCCAAATTCGTCACCGAGACCTTGCGAGAACGAACCGTCGCCTACGCCTGCGACACCACTAACAAGACTACCTTACCCGCGATTCACGACAAGATGGACCTCAATTTCCAACTTGCCGCCCTTCAGGTTTCTGCCTGTGCTCTTTAGAGACACGCAAAGGGACATCTTTCAACATTGCCTCTTGTCCCACGGGAGGAAAAACATCATTGCACGCTTTTCAACACTCCTCAAAAAATAACTACCAACCGACAACACGTACCGCTTCGCTCACACGACCACTTACCCTTTCCTAACCTTTCTCCGAAACCCTGAACTTTACTACCCACGAACCCCAGAAGACATAAGTACTGCAAGGCCCGTGAACAGTCACGCGATCAAGCTCACTCCACGATCACTCCACCCACGACTTACACCATTACCCCATACCATGGCTGGTGCCGTGGTCTCAAAACGAAGTGCGAGACAGTTCCTCGAAGACGAAGGCGGTCATCCCGCAGAGCATCCTACCTACCATCCCGCGAGACGTAACTCCAAGCAAGACGATCCCACACCTATTGAGATGGCCGACAAGTACCAAATCAAGGGCCCTTCGCGGCAAGGATCGCGCGAGTCCGTAGCTGGCTCCGACTCTACACTGGAAGGTTCTATACAGAAGCAGATCATGAAAGCGATCGAAGACGATTCCCAAACGGTCGCCATTGTTGGAGAGAAGATGTTGGCCAGGCGCGAGGATGGACTTCTCAAAGTCAACGACCAGGCGAAATCGCCCCTGGGCCCTCCTATGTCGCCTGGCATTGAGCGAGTCTTGCCAATTGATGGACGACCCATCAACTTTGGCGTTGTTGTGCCTGGAGTCTATCGAAGCAGCTATCCCAAGCCTGAAGACTTTGGCTTCATCCGCAATCTTGGCCTCAAATCAATTGTGTAAGTCACTACAGGTCTCAGTCCTTGCCAGCGGCCGTTTCTAACATTGCTTTTAGTACCCTTGTCCAAAAGGATGATGTTGATGAGCCTTACACTGCTTTCATGTCAAGCAATGGTATTCGTCACCACGTCTTTAACATGAAGGGTACCAAGAAGGAGGCCATTCCCATTCGCACAATGAAGTCAATCTTGCGGCTTGTTCTGAACCGAGAGCACCACCCCCTGCTCATTCACTGCAACCATGGCAAGGTATGTCTACAATACTAGGCAATTTTGGTATCGTTCGCCCACTAACATGACTATAGCATCGCACTGGCTGTGTCGTTGGCGTGGTTCGCAAGGTGACTGGCTGGGAGCTCAACACCATTGTCGATGAGTACCGGGCATACGCTGAGCCCAAGATCAGAGACTGCGACGTTAAGTATCTCACCGACTTTGATCTCTCGGATCTTTCCAACCTGTTCGTCCACGAAGCGAATATGCGGTTTCGGATCCGGCACTTTATGAGAGTGACCCTGTTCACTGTCTTTGTCGTCTTCGTCTGGTTTATCTCGGGGCATAGAATGCAGACGACAGCTAGATGCGTTAAAGAAGTGAAGTAATTGACCCTGTCGCGGGTGTTACAGGCTCTGGCATTTCTGCATGATGCTTGGCATTGGGCGGATCTTCGCCGAAGTCTGAACTTGGTGGAGCGCAACGCAGCATGGTACCGTACTCTAGAAGAAAACTGGAGACTGTTACCCAGCAACGATACCCTACGCAAAGACAGAAGAAGACTACAGAGCGATAATGAAAGATAGGGGAGAAGGCTGTTACAGCACCGGTGAGAGGAAGATCGACGATATGAGTCGAAGTACATGAGAGGGGACAGAAGAATAAGGACACACAAAAAGTTTGGTACATTGGGATTACCGCCCTCAAAGATGCAGCATAGCCTGCTTGGGCTGGACCGGCTTCTTCCAATTTTTCCTTTGTATGGATAGACAGAATACTGGGGACTCATCAAGAGCTGAGATGTCTCCTTTTGGCGTTTAACTCGAGACTTTGGAGGTCATCGACGATGGCATTTCATCAAGTACAGGCTTTTTTCTTTGCTTTTCCGTTGTATTGTATTACTATCTTGTTAGGGTAGTTTGGACAGTTGACCATTTGGGGAGGTTATGAACTTTCTGCAAACGCAATCGACTCAAGTCAACGTAGCTGATTTCTACATTGTCGAGATTCGTCTACATACTATTCCAAAATTTTGGTCTCCTTAAAGTGCCCGTTCCCCCGTCTCCACGCTTGCTATTCTCGTGTGTAAGCATTGACTTCCCCAAGCGCTTATCGAGATCATGGCATGTGTGTATGTCGATCCATCCCCAGACAGTGCCGTTTCGCGTAACGACGTTTCGTCTCATGACTCGACGTATATCATTATCCTAACAGACTTCCCCTATAATCGTACAATATTCCTTACAGTCGATACTATTAATGTCTACGTTGGCTTGGCATTTCGAGTTTGTTCAGACAACTCGAGCCGGGCCAAGACCGCCCACCACCTATCAGGAGAGCGGCAGCATTCCCACGGCAGAGACCAGGTGGAAGAACATCATGCCTCATGGTTCCTATAACATGGTCCCCCTCGAGTCTCTTCTCTCCGCCTGGCAACTCTCAAAGGTTTCTCTTCTCCGTCCTTTTCTCCTTCTCTCATGACTCCCCGCCCCAGCGATTTCTCTCTTTCCTCTCTACCTCGTCCTTCTTCCGATCGCCATTGGCATACACCCACGCGCCGGCAGCAGAGTTGGCAAAGCCCATACCGATAGCGGTGCCGCGGACGAGGCCGCGGGCGGTGAACTTGCTCCGCAGAGGTTGGCGGCGGCGCAGGGCGAGGAGGGCATAGAGGCCCGAGAGGGCGCAGGTGAAGCCCGCGCTGTCGGTGGGGAAGCCGGCGAGATTGACGTAGCTGCTGAAGAGGAGGGCGGGCGCGAAGGATGCCGGGAGGATCTTGAGGGGCCTGCCGTGGAGGGCACCGATTAGGATCGCGTGGATGGCGGGTGGGAGGGGGTTTGCTAAAGAGTGTTAGTGGGGGCAAGCTGAATGGGATGTTCTCAAGGTAGACGTGAGGGGAAGTGCGTACTGCCATAGTCGTGGATTTTGCTAAAGATTGATGACTTGACGTCTTCCGTGTCTGGGAGACCGTTGTCGGACGCCATTGCTGCTGGAGTGCTTGGGATTATGGCGACCGCAAGACTGGGCTGATTTCGCAATCGGAGCGAGAAAAGGATATCGTCACTGATTTTTTGGAGTCGCAGCAGGGACCTTTACCTCGAGGTACCTTAGCTCATTCCCGTATTAGTGACATATGTTATCGATAAGAAGAGACCCTGCTCGGATGAGTCAGCTGAGCCGCATACCCAATCAGCTGGTCCGTGGTTCCGGGGCGTCGGGCGAGTCTCTCAATTTCGACCTCCATCGAGTGGATTGGAACTTGGTACAGTGTCTTGTTCCCCCCATGTTGGCTGGAACTCTTGCGACTTTGGTCTACTTTTCTTTCGCTTTCGCAAGATAGTCACACGATTCCCTCCGACGAACACACGAGATCGTTCGTCACTTTCCGGGCTCATTGACGGCAGAGTCTCGAGCCAGCGAGCTATTTGCTGCACCTGGTGCGGGGGAGCATCGCATCAGTAACGTGGGCTCTTAGCCTTGCATCGCCTATCTTGCCAGATTGGCAAAACCCACCAACGCAACATCGCAACCGCCAACGACTGCGCGCACCCACGGCCGCAACGAGTCTCGATCCAACCTGCACACACTTTGTGTGCTTTCATACGCAATACCGTCAATCGCAATCATTAACTTGATTCCGACCATCCGATAGACGACTCCTCGATCTTGCCCCAGCAACCACATCACCACACCAAGGAAAAAAACACAAACACACGTACACACCAAACCATGCCGAGCGCAACAGCCTCGGGCGCCGACTCAGGCGGCGGCGCCCGCAACCGCGAGCACAACCAGGGCAACCAGGCCCGCGCCTACACGGTCGACCAAAAAGCCGCCGTCCTGCGGATCCGGAAATGCTCGCCGACGGCTTTTTACGACATCCTCGGCCTCGAGGAGGTAAAGACGACGGTAACGGAGAGCGAGATCAAGAAGGCGTACCGCAAGCAGTCACTCCTGACTCACCCGGACAAGAACGGCCACGAGCACGCCGACGAGGCCTTCAAGATGGTCAGCCGCGCGTTTAGCGTGCTGGGCGACAAGGAGAAGCGCGAAAAGTTTGACCGGTTCGGTACGGATCCTGATTCGAGATTTGGGCAGGCACAGGCGCAGAATCCGTTCAGCGGGTTCGGTAGGCGGCAGGGCGGCGGAGGGGGTGGAGGAGGTGGTGGCGGCGGTGGTGGTGGCATGGAGGAGATGACGCCTGAGGAGATGTTCCAGCGCTTCTTTGGCGGTGGTGGGTTTGGTGGTGGACCTTTCGGAGGCGGAGGTAAGAATGAAACCATTTCGAGAGACTGGGCGATGAAGCTAATGATGGCGCGCAGGTTTCGATACGGGACCTCAGTTCGTGTTCAACTTTGGCGGCGGTCCGGGCTTCAGGGTACACCAATTCGGTGGAGCGCGACCGCGGAGGAGACCGCGCGAGGCGACGGAGCAAGAAGGCGGCGGGCTCTCGACGCTCATGGGTCTGCTCCCGATCCTGCTCCTCTTTGTCTTCCCGCTCATCTCGAGTCTCTTCAGCGGCGGCGGCCCCGCGACGCCGAGCATCGTCTACGACAACCCCAAGGGCGCCTACACGTTGGGGCGGACGACGCCCAAGCTCAACGTCAAGTACTTTGTCAACCCCAAGGAGGTTGAGTCGTTTTCCAAGGGGAAGCTCAGCCAGCTGGACCAGACGGCGGAGAATAACCTGGTCAGGACGCTACGGTTCGAGTGCGAGAACGAGATGATGGCGAGGCAGCGGATGTACGATGCGGCGAGCGGTTGGTTCTTCCAGGATCCGGATAAGATGCGCAGGGCGGACGAGTTTGAAATGCCTTCGTGTAAGAGGTTGGAGACGTTCCGTGTGGGCAGGTAATTAATGCTTTTGGGGGGAATCTGTCTGTCTGGTGATTACATCTTTAAGAGGAATAGAGCGGATGAGAGAAAGGGGGAGGCAAAGGCTTTGTATGAAATGGACAGGGAGCTCGGAGAAGCTGAGAGACGCGTCCGGTTCACTTTTTCTCCGTTTGGCGTTTCTGGGGAGAAGTCTTTGAGATTCATAGCATTGTTGGGAAACTCCGCGTCGGGCATTTTCTTTCTGCCTTTGGTCCCCTTCTTCTTCCTTCTGTCGTCCTTTGCGATGCAGATGCAGTATTCTTCTCATATATTCTTTCCGCTCTTCACGCCCTGATATGCCTTTTCTGTCTTCTCGCTCTGACACCCTCCCATCGAAGATCAAGAATCGACATAGTACCTGGACTATCATGCTTACACCCTTTCTTTTCCCTCCCCCCCCCGATCCGCCCCATGTCTGGTCTGTCCCGCACCTTGCTGAAGTGGAGGTCCCCTTCTCGAAGTGATCCACAACCCCAAACTTCGCCTAAGTCGGTCGGCGTCGGCCCTCTGCTGCCCACAGATTCACACGACGTGCCTCGACTCGTTTCTTAGCCCCCACAACATCGTGGGACCCTCAACCAGGAGCTCCAGCAAGCTTCCCTTCTCAACTATCCCCGATGGCACAATTGGCTAGCGCGTCAGACTGTTAATCTGGAGGTTGGTGGTTCGAGCCCACCTCGGGGAGTTATTCAGTGGTTAGAATCCACAGTTGCAGTTGAGGACTGTTTTTTTGCATTTTTTCTGTTTTGTTTTGCACTGGTTTCGTGTTCTGGTGAATCTGACTGAGAGATCGTGTCGAATTCTGCTTCAAGTGAGAAATTTGGCAGGGTTGAAGCCACCGCCTTGTTTTGCTGTGGGACTTGCGTGTCTTTTGGGAGGTTATGTCGATGATGGTGTACTGGTTACTGTAAATGAGTAACTTGTTTCGACTCATCAGATACCTAACCTGATCTTTAGCAAACATTGCTTCGGACATGCTGTGAGATGGACAGATACCTCTATGGAAGGGCGTTACAGGTTTTTTTTTTTTTTTTTTTTTCATTCCGGCATTATAGTCGGCGACATAATATACCATTTAAGCTGCAAGTCGGAGCCCAAGCGTGCGCGTCTTTTCTCTATGTCTGTCTTTCATCACATCCAAGGCACAGACCCGGAGCCTTAAGGAAAGATAGCAAATCAATGGTATCTAGATACTTTTCCCAGAACTTAGTTATGCGCCAGTGCCATAGCAGTTTCACTTGGGGACCGCAGAATACGAAGAAGCTACTCATATTTCATTCATCTTTCACAACGACGATGGAAGCGAAGGGAAACGTGATTCTTCTTGCTGCTAGACCCTCCTGAGAGAGTGGGATGTCTCGAGCGAGCGGACATGATTGATGGGCCAATTTCTGAGGGTTTCTATTACGCCCGAGCTATTTCGTATCTCAGCTTTCGTTGAAGATTGAAGACGATCATCGAGTATATTTCCCATCCCTTTTCCGTTCTCGTTTGTCTCTCTGTCTCTCTCTCTCTCTCTCTCTCTCTCTCTCTCGCGCGCGCGCGCGCCCTGTTATGAGTGAATATCGTTCTGTGTAAGCTTTAGTTGGTCAGTTGATATATCACTTGCCGAGACTACCGCGACCAAGCTCTTCTCACGAGGTTTCGGTATAGCGAGTTGCGTGACTTGAGTTGGATGGTTTGATTCTTTTACAACCTCGTACAAATCCGCCACCAGAGCTCCTATTGGTGATCTTCGTATCATCCTTCGACAGCTGCCCGTGCGGCCGACGATTCCGGAGAAGAGATCTCGGCACAAAGCGGCGTCAGTAGCAAGTTCTGCACGCCTCAAAGGTTAATGTCTCTCGGAGCCGGACTGCCGGGACGTTACCTATGGGCATGTGCGATGTACCCACAAGAAAGGGCAGAGCACTTCTTCACGAGATATAGATGTGGCCACCTCTAATGATGCCCATATTGACAGAATAATCTACGCGGTTGCTTAGCTTTACTCATATGACGACGCCTACGGCGGAGAAACGCAAGAGATAAGTGCGCCGAATAAGCTCGCATGTCAAATCCAAGGTCTCACTACAGATAGACAGCCCCAGAGCGTCAAGAGTCTGTGGATATCACGGGAACACTTTGGGAATGGATCGACTGCCGTCGTGACTGATGCTGACTGCAGCCTTCTGTCCTACCCCAATCCTTCCGGCCCGCCGGGTCATCGACTGCTCCGAGAGCGGCATCTCATATTTGTGCCTAGCTTCCCGAGAGGAGAATACTCGAAAAGTAGGTAGGGCTAGCTAAGTGGCTAGGATCTTTCGACCCCAGATTGGGAGCAGTGCAAAATTGGTCTCGTGACTTCTGCGCCTCACAAGTCTCTAGTCCTGACAGCCATGGGGAGCATGCTGGGCTCCAGGCGCTGGAGAGGAGGGCAATTGTCGGGATGTGCCCGGTTATCAAGGCTTGAGATGAGAGGGAGACTATTACTTTGTACAGGACTCAAAGAGAAAAAAGGTTTGTTCAAAGTTCAGACTGTTATATGGAGGCCTCTGTTGACTAGAAACTCCTTGCAACCCCACGTCGGGACATTACCCAGGAGAGAGCATTTCTACTTGATACCCTGAGGCTTATCTTGATGCTTATGAGTAAGAGTAAGAGACGACATGATGCCAAGCCTAATGGAAGGATGGAAAGGTGTCACGATGAAAGAACATTGCAATCTGGCGTGTACGAGTAAGCAAAAGGAGGCAGATGCGTTAAACTCTCCCCATCTAGCGTCAAACCGTCCCATGCGGCTACGAACGGGCTCTATGGGGCATGTTCGAGAGAGATGCAATGCCGAGGGAGAGAGTGGAATTAGGGTGGAGGTGAGATCGGAAATCGAGATAAAATCGAGCGACATTGATTCCCGGAACAAGGTTCATAGGCTTAAACAATGGTCCTAATGTTAGTGAAGCCACCCATAATGCTCCGAACGAGATTCATGCTTCGAAGGGGGGAGGGGGGGGGGTGGTCTCCTCTCATGTAGGCCTGTCGTGGCCTGCCTCGTCCATGGTAGAAAACCTAGGTAAGGAAGTTCCCAAAGCTGAACGTACAGCGTCGGCGACTCCCATGGGCCATAAGGCCTCGTGGTGGCAGCCGGCGTGTCCCCCGTCTTTGACCCCGTCTTGAAACGGAGGCTCGGGCCTTGAGGAGTTGCAAAAAGGGCTGAGGGTTGTATGAACTGTGGGCTGTATGCGAGTATACAAGCCTCCGAGCGAACATAGCTTTGACACTAACTGGTGATGCGTCACCAACAAACAGCTGGCTGTTAAGGCATCGTGGGCGCTCACGCAGCTAGACGGCGGAGGCTTTGGTGCTGGACGGAGAGGCGGGGTCTGTCCCTGTCCGGTAGAGTCACGGGCACGGAGCACCGGACGGCGGGCTGCGTCATTGCGCGGGGAGCATCCATGGTATTCAGGAGTACGTACCGTCTAGTGTGTGGCTGAAGCTGTAGACGCCACAACTCTACCCCACTGGGCAATGGCGCGGGCACCTCTCTTCCAAGGGTACCGTTTCTTGCTTTTTTCTATTTTCCACCCGTCGTCTCTGGATGTTCCATGATGATTGATTCAATCTGGTCTCGGCCGTCTGCGTCAAGCTGTAGATGTAGGCATGGATCGACGAGGACGGCTCTTTCATTTGCTGCCCAAGTCGTATCTCGGTATCGCAATGTCGTTCACTGAGCATCAGACAGCGGGCGGGTGGCTGGCGGTGTACTGCGCGCGTGCTGATCGAGTGGACGCGCAAGCTTTCGGCGACATGCTGTGCCATCTTACCCGATAGTTTTGTACTGGTTGACGAGAAATTATCGAGGACAGCCGCGAATGGTTCATGGCCATTGTCGTCGTCACCATGCGTGTACCGCAATTCGCCATGTCCGCTAAAGAATCCCCATGTGTACGAATTGTGGTTTGTCTTATCTTCCAATGATGCTCGCCATTGGCCCGTGACATTTTGGCCCTATGCGAGCAGCGATGCTTTGCTATGTTGTAGTAGGTAGGTCTCATATGATTCCTGCATGTATGCTGTTGCCTGGCGATTCCGCTTTGTGTAGTCGGTGGACGACTCGAGGAGGTATCCAAGGATATTCCCACAGGGCGAAGTCTTGCCAGGGCCAGTCAACGAGCATGGTGTAATTGCCGCTGGCTCTTTGCCGCAGGTGTATCTCTTCTCACCATGCCTTCAGCGCTCTACAGACTGCGAGAGAGCTTCTGGTGGCAGCGGCGGTACCCTGTCCGCGTAACTCGAGATGCTTGTGCCGCGCCGGGTCTGCGTCCAGGGGCCCACTTGGTCGTGCCGCAGCGGAGAGGCGATGGTACGGAGTTGGTGGTGAAGCAAGGCGGATGGTGTCGTTGAGGTCCATGCCTTGCTGAAAACCCAGTATCAGAGATTCGAGGCAGCAATGGTAGGTGCTGAGGAGCGTTTGTCCCAACTCTTGAGAAGTTCCATTGACATCCCTTCTATCCATCCAAGTGATGTGCGAGATAAAACTGACGGGTCCCAGTTCTAAACGTCGAGGTGCAGTGCTGGGGAAGAGGTCGGCGGGAAGAGTCTCTAGAAGAGATGGGGAATCCGGGACGAAAAAAGACGTCAAGTCAGCAGTACGTACCGGAATACGAATGGAAGTACCTCGGGGAGTACCTCTCCAGGTAAGGTACCTCAAACTTGGGAGGAGGAGGTGGTGGGGGATTTTGGAAGGAACGAAACCTGAAAGTGTAAGGCGCACCGCCACTTGTGCATGCCCGCCCGCAACCCGCCAGCGTTGCGCCGTGTGCTTGCGTCCCGACGGGTTGCGTGGGCTTTCTCCGTTACGACGGCTGCTGAGGTGTACGAATACCTTACCTTACAGTGCAGTGATGGTCCTGGTGTATTCGTCCAGTGTCTGTACCAGCACAGGTACCTTGTCAGGGCCACTGCTTGCTCGTTGCCGCCGCAGCTGCAGCAGGCTGGTCTTGGCTTCCATTGAGGTGCTCTTTTGGCTTCCCAGCAAGTTCCGTTCCAAGGTTCCTCAGACTCTCTTTCCTGCAACCTCCAGACATTTGGCTTCATCCTTTTCGGCAGCCTGTCTTTCACAGCATTCGGCATACACTGGCCCTCAAGAGCCTGCCGTTTGATTACCTATTCTACCAAACGGTTCCGGGATTGCCGTTGGTCGATTGTCTCTTGTTGGCTGCTGATCGCTTCCAGTGCAATAATTGAGAGGTTTCTATTCACAGCCCACTACGAATGACGACACCTACTGGAGCTTCAATCTCACCTTCACCTACGCCCTCGTTCTCGCCTAGCCGCTCGCCGAA